CCCGTTAGTCAGAACATAATGACTTTGTGTATCTTGTCACACTATTTGTTTCGGGAGATAAAATACAAGGTGGGGAGGGGGGGGCCCTGCGAGCCGCGCACATATGCAAAAGGCTGGCGTGCCTTTTCTCCGAGCCCCTGCTCAGTTATTTATAGCCACCCGCCTCCTGTTTACACATTGTGGCAGGGACACCAGAGAACCTCGTAAATTATGTCGCAGTGGCAACGCAAAGGCACATCGACACGACACCGGGAGAGGGAGACCACCAAACCCCTTCGGCTGCGTTCACACACACACACACACACACACACACACACACACACGTCCATAGCCATGGCAACGGGTTTTTGGCACAGCGCTGACCACGTTTGAATGCCTTCAAAGGTCTTCACGCCACGTTTTTTTTTTTATAAACGGGGAGCGTTATCCCCAGTTGAGCCACGTTCCAAAAAAGACCCCTTTGCCTGTCTCTCTCCCCCCCCCCAAGTCTTTAGAAATAGACCCCCATAAATCTACCTCGGTCCTGCTTAGAATAAAAAGACATTCGGGGTTATAAAATAAGAGGTTAAAGGTCTCCAGAGGAAGAAGCAGATTTGCAAGACAAGTGTGTGTGTGTGTGTGTTCATGCGGGGGGGGGGCGTTTGTGTGGGTCTCCTCCTTTTGTAAAATAATTAAGGGCTTCCTTTGTTTGGGGGTGCCTGCTGGAAAAGGTAGAGAATTTCATTGCATTTTTTTTGTGTGTGCTTTGCTCCCTTGCAAGGGGTGAACGCATTTCCGCTTGGTTTCCTGGGTCAACAATCGCGGGCCATAAGATTAAAAAAATCCTCCCATGTTGTGTTATTCTAAGCTTCTCCCCTGCTCAAGCTGGGTCAAGATAAAAGTTATTCCCCAAACCATTTAATTACAGGATGTGGAATTTGAGGAGGGGAGGGCCCTGCGGGGAGCCCAGAACAGCGGTGTCTGTTTAAAAAGTTATTTTTAAAGTTTTTTTTTCTCTCAAAGCAGAAGAAAACATCTGGGGTCTCAAGTTAATATTTTAAATATCCAAATCAGGCACCCCGGTGGGCTGTGGAAATTCATCTAGCAGTGTGGCAGCAAGGCAGGAGAACCCCCCCCCACCTCATCTGTGGGGTGGGATGGGGTGTTGAGAGATGGTGAAGCCGCAGGTGCCAAATCAATAGATTGGAGGAGAAGCTAGCCCCTTGGGAGGTGGGATATGCTAAAGAGAGACCCCCAGAAAGAGTTCAGAGAGGATGTGAAAGAGGATTCAAAGGGAGCGCCTGAATCCTTATCACAGCCCTTTGCGCTGCAATCTTGTGTTGCAGACCCACCCCGGCTAATCAGACATAAAATGAATTATTGTAAGCTGTGATTAAACTGCCCTGAAACATGCACCAGCATTTGGGATAATCTACCAAGTCTGCAATAACAACAGGATTCTTTTGGTGTCATTATTATTATTAACAACAGGATTCTTTTGGTGTCATCATCATTATTATTATTATTATTATTATTATTATTATTATTATTATTATTATTCAATTGACTGTAGCCACTTAGTTAAATTGATGTTTTTTAAATGAGTTCTTACTGCAGTAAAGACTGCAGGGTTACTTAACTTGAACGTTGTTTTATTTACTTTTTTTTGGCACTTCGGTCTTATCTGTGTAGTTTTTTGTTTTTTTTTTACCCCAGGTCTCTTGAAATAGAAAACCGTTCAGACCTTTTAGGAGAGAATTAAAAATTAGTGGGTGTGCTGAGGGATGCACTTTAATTCTAAACAAGAGGTGGGAAGTCCAGAGGAAAGAAGAAGGAAAAAAAAAAAATCCCAGAAACCCAGCTAGATATAGAGGAAAGAGTTGGGAGAATCTCATAAAAATGCTGAGCGATAAAATTAAGAATAGCAGTTGGGCTGTTTATATAGCATAAAGTCTTCCTCTGTAAGGATCCATCAAATGAGGATTGTAGGATCTTCGGACTGAATTGATCCCCTCGTGTTTTGGACCACCGACTCTTGAATTTGGTGACTTGTGACTGGTCAATAGGCCAAGGAACCCCTCCCCTTAAGAGGGTGGTTGCCCCCCCCCTTATGCCCTGGTATTGAGATAGCAAAGAGAATGCAGACTTAAAGCAAGATGATTCTGCAGAGAGCAGAGCAATCTGCCTTTTAAGATGGGTGTCCAACCTTGGCCACTGTTAAGACCTGCGGACTTTAACTCCCAGAATGCTGGCTGGCTGGCTGGGGAATTCTGGGAGTTGAAGTCCGTGAATCTTAAAAGTGACCAAGACTGGACACCTGATTTAAAAGTAGCCCACTGCAAGGAATGGGTGAGTTGGCCTGGGAGAAACAATGCCTTTGGTTTCCAGAGCGGTGAGCCCAATCAAATCCAGTGTCTTAATGGGAAGGACAACCCCCTGCACCAAGAGGCCTGGCCCACAAGCCCTGATTTGCTTGATGTGAACATGTATGCTACATGTCAAAAGCCACACACACCCTGAGATTTCCCCCAGCCTCATTAACCAGATCAGGGGTGGATTGAGCTGGTTCCTTCACAGCACCCCCTAAAGCAGGGGTCTTCAGACTTGGCCCTTTGATGACTTGTGGACTTCAACTCCCAGAATTCCTCAGCCAGCTTGTGGACTTCAACTCACGCTGGCTGAGGATTTCTGGGAGTTGAAGTCCACAAGTTGAAGTCCACAAGTCATCAAAGGGCCAAGTCTGAAGACCCCTGCCCTAAAGCGCAACTTAGTTTGTCTTGACCTTGTTGGTTTATGGTTCAGCTTCCCCTGCCAGACCTAGCCAGGGGTTGGTTTACAGCTCAGGCAACCTTTGGGAGAAATCAGGATGGGGGTCAGGTGTAATAATAATGAAAAAAATAAAAATAACAAAACAACAACTTCTTCTTCTTCTTCTTCTTCTTCTTCTTCTTCTTCTTCTTCTTCTTCTTCTTCTTCTTCTTCTTCTTCTTCTTCTTCTTCTTCTTCTTCTTCTTCTTCTCCTTCTTCTCCTTCTCCTCCTTCTCCTTATTATTATTACTATTATTATTATTATTATTATTATTATGGATCATCGCACAGTCAGCCAGATGTTCAGACCGGATTTGGCCTTTTTGTCTACCTATCGAGTCCTTACCCAGGACCTGGGATAGGCAGATGTGGATATTTGATGGTATTACAGATCTCCTGGCAGGATGGAAGCAGTTCCTAATAAGGCTGCCTTTTGCAATTGACTGATGGCGAATTTGTCAATGCCAATGGTGTTGTTGTTATTTTAAAAAAAACAAAGCCAGTTTGATCTAGTGCAGGGGTCTTAAAGTCTTAAAGTTGTCAAGGTCGCAGACCCCTGCTCTAGTAGATTTAAGCCCCCCCCCCCCGCCCTAGAAAGCAGGAGATGGCGAGTTCAAGTCCCGCCTTAGCCATGGACGGAAAGCCAGCTGGGCGCCTTGGAGCCGGTCCCTCTCTCCCAGCCCGGCCAACCCCACAGGGTTGTCGTGGTGAAGAAAAGAGGAAGGAGGAGGAAGGTGCGCAAATGCATCCTATCCCCCCCCCCAACTTCCACCACTTTTTTTTTTTTTTGCCTTGCCTGGCCCTTGCAAACCTTTGCAATGCCCTCTTTTTTCCCCCCCCCAAACCCCCACAAAAAAAGCCAGACAGCCTTGCCCTCCTTTGCACCCCAACCCCCCCCCACCCCCCCAAAGCGGCTGCGCCGGGGCAAGCAAATCAAGCCGTCCAGCGCGGGAGTCCGCCTTCCCCCCGGCGCGATCCAGGCCGCCTTTTGCAGCGCGCCCGGCGGCTCCCCGATCACATGTTAAGCCGCCGCCGCCGCTCCTTCCCTCCCCCCTCCCCTTTGTAGTGTCAGAGGCTCCCCGGTGGCGATCCGGATCCCCCGGGCCGGCCTTGCCCCGCCAGGACCCCCCCCCACGGGCCCCTCCCGCTTAGGGGGCCACCTGTGCCTCGCCGCCCCGGACTCCCTCCCGGCCTTCGGGCGGCTTCGCAGGTTAGGAACCTCTGCCCCCCCTCCCTCCCCCCCTCTTTTGCAAAGGGGTTCTTTTTTTGGGGAGGGGGCTGCACGCACCCGGCCCTGTTGCAAAGCCGTCGGGCAGAGGGGGGGGGAGGGCGGAGAAAAGCCCCCCCTTATTTTGCAGGATTGCAAGCTCGGATGGGGAACAAGGCTGCTTTTTTTTCCCCTCCCCCAGCACCCCCCCTCTGCCTCCCTCACTTTTCCATCCCCCCCCTCCCACCCCAGAGATGTTTTGGAGCGGGGGGGGGAGAAAGGGGCTAACTGGATTGTTATTATTGGCAAAAGTCGCGGGAGACTTTCAACCCCCCCCCCCTTTTGCAGGATCCTCTCGGAAATAGGGAAAGGAGGATTATCTTGGGGTTTTTGTGTGTGTGTTTGTTTTTTTAAAAAAAGAGGAAAAAGGCAGAAAAACAAAGGTGTGTTTTTCTTCCCTGCAGGCTACTTGTTAAACCTGGTTTTTATTTTATTTTATTTTTTTTTTTTTGAAAAATATATATGTTTGTTTGTTTGTTTTTTTCTCAGAGTTTTTCCACTTTTGCCCGCTTCGGCTGCCCAAACAGCCCTCTTCTTCCCCCGAGGGATTTTCCCAAATGGGAAAACTTCCTCCTCTTCCTCGCCTCTCTCGCACCCACTCCCCCACCCGTCCCCCTAATCATTTTCCCCTCCTCCCTCCTGTTTAACCTGGAACTGGATGGTGCATTTTTGAGTTTCCGTGTTGTTTTCCCTGGAATCGGCTTCTTCCCGTCTCAGAAGGAGACCCCTGGATGCATCTTCCTTTTTTAACAACCCTTTTAAAAATAATTTCAGGGCCAAACCTGGAAAATAGTTGCACGGAGGAGGAGCGGGGAAGGTATATTAATGTGTTTTTCTGCAGCTCTTGAGCCTCGGATTCCTTTTTTTGTAGGATTGCAAAGACCCCCCCCCCACTCATTGTTCCAGGCCCCACTGACTTGTTCTTTTTATTTTTTTGTTAACACAGAAGAGGTTCATTAAAGGCCTCCGGCAGTACGGCAAGAACTTTTTCAGGATCCGAAAAGAATTGCTCCCCAATAAGGAGACGGTGAGTATCCCCGGACTTTACGTAACTTGACTTTCACACACACAAACACACACACACACCCCTCTCTTCCTAAAATGCCTTTCTGCATTCCTCCCATTTGCTGTGACGGAGAAGCCTTTTAACCCTCGATGGGCCTCGGGACTAATTTTTGGAATTGTGTCTGCTTGTATAACCCCATCCGGAGTTTCAGATCTGTTGGTTGTCGGGAAGTCTGTCCCTCCCCAAACTTCTGGGATCAGTCCCTGGGTTGGAAGTGGAAACGGAGTCATAACCAAGCCTTTTGCAAAGCCAAAGAAGGAGGAGGGAGGGAGGGGTGACTTAAAGGGCAGCAGTATTGAAAGCTATTTTAGCTGCACCTGGGGGGGGGGGAAGGGAGATCTGGGTTGGGTAGATGTTTCCTCCCCTAAATGTTAAGTATTAACCTTGTGACCTCTAAAGCTTCGCTCCTCCCGTTATGTATTTAAGATGGACAGGGATTAATATTCATGTGTTGCTTATATGTAAAGGTGTAGGTCTATGCGTATGTTGTGTACAGTATGTTTAAATGTGTGTGTACACTTTGAGAGCAAGCAACTAAATTTCATTTTTAATGTGCCATTGTGCCCACAGTAAAAAATGACAATAAAGGTTTGTCTGTCTGTCTGTCTATCTATCTATTTATCTATCTGCTTACCTTTCATCTCTCCTATCTATCATCTATCTATCTATCTGCTTACCTTTCATCTCTCCCTATCTATCATCTATCTATCTGCCTACCTTTCATCTCTTCTATCTATCTATCTATCTATCTATCTATCTATCTATTTGCCTACCTTTCATCTCTCCCTCCTATCTATCATCTATCTGCCTACCTTTCACCTCTTCTATCTATCTATCTATCATCTATCTATCTATCTATCTATCTATCTATCTATCTGCCTACCTTTCATCTATCTATCTTCCTACCTACCTACCTACCTACCTACCTATATCAGATCACAGTTCTTTCATTTTCCTTGATTTGGGGACTGGCAAGGCATGGTTTTGTCAGCTGATTTCAGGATCTGTTCTCCTTTGACCTGTGCAAAGCCTTTCCCCCCCCCCAATGATTTGGATGTAATTTGGAGGGGGGTGCCTGTTTATGCTGCTGAGAAAGAGACCCAGGAAACGCAGGAGATTCCTGGGTGTTTGGAATTAGCCTAGGTCCACTAGTGACTGGTCTGTCAGCCTCTGGAAGTGTTACGTTAAACCGGCTTTAAACATAGGTTTTTCTCCTCTCTTGCCTTTTGTGGCAGCGCAGGCATTTATTGGACTGGACGTCTGGAACATGGCTTGGGGTCGACCTGTTGTCGGTTAGCTGGCCTGAATGGAGGCAGGAAGTCCTTGTGATTGTGACTCATGCTTTTCATTTAATTGAATAACTTGGACCTGGAGGTTTTACCTCCCCGGTACAAAGGGCATCTGTTGAAGCCCCCGTGTTATGACCCAAGCTGTCACGGAGCAGAATTAATTGCAGCTTTGACATACGGATTCTCTCTCTCCTCCCCCCCCCATCCTGTTTCCCCCCCCCTCCATTGGGACGAAACACCTCCTGTAAAGTTGTCCCTTTTTGTTGGTGGTAGGTGTTGTGTCATCGCTGGGCTGACCCACAAACGGTGATAAAGGGTGAGCTCTGTAGAGAATAAGGACACTTTGCATTTTAATGACCTTTCTCTCTTTGGACGGACGGAAGGAAGGAAGGAAAAAAAAAACAAGGCTTTGGAGAAGTGAACCTTACACACACACACACACAAAAGGAAAGCAGTGGGCACGCTTACTAAAACAAAACAGCAGCCCCCAAAAGCTGGCTTGTTTTTTTTCTTCTTCTTCTATTTTCCCCTGCAGCCTTTCCAAGTATATTTTGAGCAGATCTTTAGGGAGGTTTGCATGAAACTAGCAAGCGGGAGTATTTTCAAATTATTTTGACAGCTTTTTCCATCTCGGCTGGGAAGCAGCTGTCGTCCTCGCCAAAGCTGGAGCGGGCTTCGGCATACAGGCCGATGTAAGGACATACATGTCTCTATTGGGAAGATATTGTCCTGGCCAAGCTGAGAATTTTGAACCATTCCTTCTTCTTTTAAAAACAAACCGGGATGGGCTTGGTAAAATGCAAACTTGGTGTTCTGCTTTCAGTAGCCTGCCTTTTTTTTTTTTTTTTTTTTTTAAATGCTTTGAGGCCTGAACTTTATGAGATGCTACAGATCTGAGAGATGCTCTGTTCTGGTGAGTAAGCCCTGACTTTCCCTGGATAATTTAATCCCTGCTTCCTGCTTTCTCAAGTTGATTCAAGACCAAGAGGCGGGCAAGAAACAAGAGCCTCTGTGTTGTGGCCGATGGTGATTATGTTTCAAGGTTTTCAAAAAAAACCACCCTTTGAGGATTTTTTGACCAGGAGATAAACTTAGTTGAACTCCATCCCTGGAGGTTTTAAGGGACAGGTCCATTATTAGACCAGGATAGAAGGAGACGCCTGCCTTGATCAGGGGGTTGGACTAGAAGACCTTTGAGGTCCTTTCCAGACCTGTGATTCTGGGTTCTAGATTAGACCTAGAGAAACTGTTGTTTTCTCTTTTCTCCTTCCTCCTCTCCTCGATATGGAGAGGATGAAGAGCAGGGGTCTTCAAGCTCGGCCCTTGGATGACTCGCGGACTTCAACTCCCAGAATTCCTCAGCCAGGCACGCGTTCAGTGGTTTGGCCCAGACCTGCAAAATTGTATAAAATACTCCCCTTTGGCCGGGCTGGCTTTATTGACCAGGCTTTTAAGGAGCAACAAAGCTGGCTGAATTTATTATTTTTTTTTTCCTTTTGCCATTTTTCTATGGAAAAAAAAAATTTTTTTTTACTTGTCTCCAAAAAAGCCGGTCAGCAGCCGCATATAAGCCTGCTGGGATGGGAGGGGAGAGAGAAAAAAAACTTCTTAAACTCTGTAGTTGCTTTTAATTCCTTCCCAGGTATTTTGCTATGCTATTAGCGGTTTCTAAGCCCGAAATACATTGCTTTCCTATTCTTTCTCTCTCTCTCTCTCTCTCTCTCTCTCTCTCTCTCTCTCTCTCTCTGGGCATAAGAGAGTATTTTTAACTTCTGAAGGAGCCTGCAGCTAGTGATAGAAGTAGAAGTCGCCTGAGAATGTTTGCTTTGTAAATCAAATTTCTCTGAATAGGCACATCTGACAGAAAGTAGAATCTCCCCCTCCCCACCTCCAGCTTATTTCAAAGCCATTTTGTGTGGCTGCGGGCCAGTTCCTGGTGGGCAGGCTTTATTTATTTGTGTGTGTGTGTATATGTGTACGTACACACATATACACATAGATAGAGATAGATAGATATAGATATGCACACATATACATATATATACATATAGGTAGGTAGGTAGGTAGGTAGGTAGGTAGGTAGGTAGGTAGATACATAGATACATAGATATACATAGATACAGACAGACAGACAGATAGATAGATAGATAGATAGATAGATAGATAGATAGATAGATAGATAGATAGATAGATACATAGATAGATACATAGATACATAGATAGATAGATAGATACATAGATAGATAGAGATAGATATAGATAGATAGATAGATAGATAGATAGATAGATAGATAGATAGATAGATATACATAGATAGATACATAGATACATAGATACATAGATATAGCTAGATAGATATAGCCAGATAGATAGATAGATAGATAGATAGATAGATAGATAGGTAGATACATAGATAGGTAGATACATAGATAGTTACATAGATAGATAGATACATAGATAGATACATAGATAGATACATAGATGGATACATAGTTATAGCTAGCTAGCTAGATATAGGTAGGTAGGTAGGTAGGTAGATAGATAGATAGATAGATAGATGGATGGATGGATGGATGACGAATGGGACTTCGTCAAAACGTTGCCAAGACACTTCCAATTTTGTGCAGGAGAAAACCTGAATAACCAAAGACCTACATAGATAGATAGATAGATAGATAGATAGATAGATAGATAGATAGATAGATAGATAGATATGCATGCACATACATACATACATACATATGTGGGTTTTAGCTCAGTATCAAGAGGGGAGAGAGTCCGTGGGGCTTGAAATATCTCAGGCCCGAGGCTTGCCTCCCCCCTCCTAGCTTTGTGCAAATCCCATTTTTTCCCTTGATTTTATCCCCATGGAAGATTGCAAACAGAGAATATTTATTTTTCTGCAGAACAGAAAAACATTCTCGAAAGATGGATGGTGTGCAATCTATCAATTGCATTCTGATCAGGTGTTTTTTTTTTCGGATTCTGATGGAGGGTTCCAGCCCAGGTCTAATCCAGAACACAGAATCCTAGGGTTAGGAGGGGACCTCAGAAGCCTTCTAGTCCAACCCTCTGCCCATTCCATCCTGGTTAAATGCTTGTCCTGTCTTATCCCTTAAAACCTCCAGGGAGGATGGAGTTCACCCCTTCAGTGTCCTTGTTGGGTTTGGATTCCTGGCCCTGCGGTTGGGGGGCCCCCTGTTTCACCCCCTCCCCACCTTTGCCATGTCTCCCCTGCCCCCTATTCCAGGGAGAACCAAGGTCAGGGCTTGTGGGGGGGGGGGGAAAACCGTGGGAGCTGCTGAGGAGCTGGAAAGACACGGCCTATTATGATGGTTGTTTTTGGGGTGTGGGGTGGCTGGCCCCTCCACCCAGGGCGGAGGCAAAGTCGGCTGTGCATTAGAGGTTTTGCAGACCTTTCCTTGCAGGCTTTGCCCCCCTCCCTTTCCCCATAAATAGCCGGCCTCTCAGCTGGTGAGTATAATCTGGCCTTACATAATCTACCCCTTCCCTCGCCTCCTGTCCAGAAGGACGCCTCTCGCCTGCCTGCCACGGCTGCTTCACGTGGCCTGCAGCGGATCCCATGATCCCCTGCTCCAGCCTAGCGGAGGGGGAGGGCTGCATTGGCCGGTGAACTGGAGTTAAGGGACACCCCCCCCCCCGCTTCTTGCC